AATGTCCCTCTTTACTCCTTGTAATTTTCATAGCTCTGAAGCTCTGAATATTTTATCTGGTATTAATATAGCCTTTAGCTTTCTTTTGTTGAATATTTCACATTTCCCTTAGTGGAGGTCAGATTCTCTTAGCTTTCCATCATCTGTGTGTCTCTCTCTCTCTCTCTCTCTCTCTCTCTCTCTATTTTTTTTGCATTCATTCCACAAGACTTTTTCTTAGATGAAGGATTCTCTTCTGGGTTGGCAGTTCTTTTCTTTCCTCACTTTAAAGATATTATTCCACATTCTGTGGCCTCCATTGTATTTCATGAGAAATCTGTAATCATTCAAATTTTAGTTTATCTTTGCTTTTCAGCATTATGACATGTTTAGGCCTTATCAGGCCTAACTGTTTGTTACTGATTTTGAGTTTAGGCCTTCTCAGACCTAAATTCTTTGAATTTGCTCTGTTTGGGGCTTGCTGGGCTTCCTGAATCTCTAAATTTATGTTTTTGTCAAATCTGTGATCTTTTCTGCTTTTAGTAAGAATTGTTTTCTCTAAAATAATTAGATTTTATTTTCCTTTATATAACACCTATAATGTGAAATTTAGACAAATTGATGCTGTCCCACAAGTTTCTAAGGATGTATTCATTTTTTCCAATGTTTTTTTCCTCTCTTTTCTTCAGTGTAGGTAATTTCTATTGCTTTATTGTCTTCAAGTTTACAGACTCTTCTATCATCTCTGTTCAGTGGTTGAGCCCATGCACTTTCTTTTAATTATATTTTTCAGTTCTAAATTTTTCCATGTGGATCTTTTCTTATAGTTTGTGTTTTTCTGCAAAGAATTTAACTTTTCCAGTTTTTTCAAGCGTGTTAACCGTTAGCACATTTAGTATGCTTACAAAGGCTGCTTTAAAGTCTTTATATGATAATTCCAGTGTGAGGCATCTCAAAATAGGCATCTGTCCTTTCTTTCCCTTGATAATTTGTCACATTTTCCAGTTGTGTGCATGTGTGGGTTGTTTGTTTCAGCATGTGGACTAAAGTTTGAATTTTATTCTGACCATTTTGAATATGATATTGTCATTTCTGAGTCATGTTTGCATCTTCTCAAGAAGGTTGATTTGTTTTATTTATTTACTTATTTACTTTTAGTTTTTAGTAACGTATGATTGATGTACACTGTTATGAAGGTTTCACGTGAAAAAGCAATGTGGTTACTACATTTACCCATATTATCAAGTCCTCACCCATACCCCAATGCAGTCGCTGTCCATCAGTGCAGCAAGATGCCACAGATCCACATGTGCCTTCTGTGTGCTACACCATTCTCCCCGTGATCCCCCACACCATGTGTGCTAAGCATAATACCCCTCAATCCCCTTCTCCCTCCCTCCCACCTGACCTCCCATACTCCTTTCCTTTGGTAACCACTAGTTCCTTCTTGGAGTTTCTGAGTCTTCTGCTATTTTATTCCCTCAGTTTTGCTTCATTGTTATCCTCCACAAATGAGGGAAGTGATTTGTCATTTGTCTTTCTCTGCCTGGCTTATTTCACTCAGCATAATGTCCTCCAGCTCCATCCACGTTGTTGTAAATGGTACAATTTGTTTCTTATGGCCGAATAGTGTTCCATTGTGTATATGTACCACATCTTCTTTGTTCATTCATGTACTAATGGACACTAAGTTTGCTTCCATATCCTGGGTGTTGTAAAAGAGGGCTTCGATAAACATAGGGGTGCAGATGTCTTTTTAAACTGGAAAATTGGTATTCTTTGGGTAAATTCTAAGGAGTGGGATTCCGAGGTCAAATGGTATTTCTATTTTTTGTTTTTTGAGGAACCTCCATATTGCTTTCCATAATGGTAGAACCTGCTTATATTCCCACCAGCAGTGTAGGAGGGCTCCCCTTTCTCCACATCCTCACCAGCATTTGTTGTTCTTAGTCTTTGCGATGCTGGCCATCCTTACTGGTGTGAGGTCATGATTTGTTTGTTTTAGATTACATGTTCTGTCTCACTTTCTGTATGTGGTGCTTCTAATACTAGTTCTATTTTCAAAACTTTCCCTGAGCTCTTTGCATTTGCCCTGTGCTATGTCTCTCAGTGATAGCCTAGGACTTAGGCAGTAGTATATGTCATCCATTATTAGCTCTCTTTCTCAATAGTCTTTGCTATACTTTCTGAGTCTGTATTCAACAAGCACAAGTTGTTATTTGTATTACTTCATACCAAGAATGGGGTTGTCTTTTCCAGTTGTGTTCTTCTCCATGATTTCCTCCATACTCTTCAGTTTCCAGTGGCCTTTTCCCAGTTACTTTGATCAGAAAGGCACAGATGCGTTTAGACTTCTGCATTGTACAGTTCCCCCGTAACTGGGGCTGTCCTTGCTTAAAGTGCAGAAGAAGAGAGAAAATGAGAAAAAACATAATGACACTTCCCCTCATCCTTTGTGAACGACAGAGACCCTGTTTCCTACCTTTCCTGGCCAGTGAGTGAGGTTTTTCTCACAGGGCTGTTCTGTTCCTTTGGCACTGCATGTCTGTGGCTGAGAGAAAAAAGAAAAGGGGAAAAATGACATATTTCCTCACAATCTGAAGATCACAGGGTCCCCTTTGGGACAGAAGAGCAGGATTCCTTTTAAGGGTTATCTTGTCATCAGCACTATCAAAATAGTCACTCAGGCAACTCTTTGGTCAAAGCCAGGAGATAGAGGAAAGCGGAATCAGAAAACTCATGACTACACCCATTATATTTCAGGTTTTGGCCTCTCTTTCCAATTATTTATGTCACCTGCTTATGGAATATTGATATCCTTTGGCCATTTATATATTGTTGGATTAGGTACTTTGTGAATGATTTGAAAGATGTGTATATATTTAAGGAATATTAACCCATAATGTGGCTGTTTCTATTCTTGTGTTTGACTCAAATTTTTTAACATAGAAATTTTTTTAATGAGTTAATCTTTTGTGCATTAAAAAATTGGCTAAAAGCTGTTTGGATAGTCTCCCTAATCAGAGTTTGTGTTGTAGTTTTAAAAATATTCTATTTTATTTTTCTCAAATTTGAGCAAAATTTCTTAAAATTTTTTAAATGGGCTGTAGGGAGAAGAATTAAGTAATTGTTTAGTCCAACAAATATCTGTATATTATCTGTAAGACATAGTGTGTAGGATGTACAGAGGCAATGTAAAGATGAATGAGTCACATCGTGCCTAGTTGTCTAGAGCAGAGGGGTACTCGTGGTGTAGTAAATGCTGAAGGATGTTTTGGAGCATGAAGGGACAGTGACCAGCTTGTCCTACTGGAGTGAAAACTTCACAAACATTACCTTTAATCTAAATTTTGGAAGATTTTGAGTGGGAATTTGTTAGGCAGATAGAAAAGAAGACGCAAATCGTGCAGGTACTTACAAATTTTTATGTAAAATAATGCTTGTAATAAAGGTACTATAATTTGGTAATTCAAAGTTCTTAAATAGGGTCTTAAGTAACATAGAAGGCTTTTTGTTTTTCACAGGTATATTAATTGAATAGTAAGAGTTTATATAGAATTTATTTCACCCTACTCATTTTAGAAGTGATAAGTTAAGTGACTTTCCTGTGGTCACATATTCTTGGAAGAATTGTAATTGAAGCTCTGTTCCAGGGAACTAACTTCCAGAGCAGAGAGATTGGTGAAAGTGTAGACTATGGGGCAGCTTTGAAAATATGTTAGAAAAGGAATACAAACTAATGATTTGAGTTTTTACTGCAATGTAGTATTAATTTAGGGAGGAGCAAAAGATATGTAAGTGTGTTTTATGTAGTTAGAAGTTTAATAACAGGCATTATAATTGGTTCAGTTGACTTCACTAAAAATGAGACAGGCTTAAAAATTTTTCTTTAGTTTAAAAAACTTTTAAAATTAAAAAAAATTTTAAACATTTAAAAATTAAAAAAATATGCTTTGTGCATGGAAAGAACTGGCTAGAGCTTTATTTTCCCTTATGAGTTCAATGAAATCAATTTTGGAGTTTTTAATTTTAATTGGTAAATTTAAGGAGATCATGATAACTAACATTTAATGTATTGCTTATTGTTCCTGAGTACTAGTCTATACTTAACATTTATTAACTCATTTAACCCTCACAGCTACTCTAGGAGGTAGGTTATTTCTTTCATTTTATAGATTTGGAAAATGAGGTTACCCAAATTTATATTTGGTAGATAATTGTTGCCAGGATTCCTATCTAAGCAGTGTCATTCTAGAACCAGGTTCTGAAGCCTCTCATTTATGGCAGTCATTTTTAAAATTTGATAATCTGATATAAAGGAACTGCTATCAGAACCACCAGGGAATTCTGTAGTGTATCTACTTATGTAAGGAAACAGATTTGATAAGGCCATATTTTAATGTGAATCAGGTTATGAAGGAAACAGTTATCTATGTTAAATTCATTATTTTTCTCACATTTCATTTTTCTTAGGAATGTCTGTGTTAAAGTTGATTAAACACTGCCATGTGGTATCTGAAAGGAAAAGAAATCTTACTGATTTAATTTAACAAATTAAATCTAATGTCTTATTTTCTTGCATTTGAAGGTCATTAATAGATGGGAATCTTCCTGTTGTTAGAAACATACGGGTACATTTTGAGTTGTTGGGCATGTTTTTAACGGTCTTCCTACTATATTTATCTCTTTTGCTGATGAGCTTATTGCATCAGAGTTAGATAAATCTTTAAGTACTGATACAGAAAGCCTTCCAGGATGTAAAGATTTATCTAAGTTTTAGAAGTGTATGTATAGTATGTACTTACATACTACGTATAGTGGGAATCTTTTTTTTTAAACAGCGTAGGTGATTGGGATGATGAGCCGGGTTTAAGACTCCTGCACTAGTAGGCAACACTTCTTTTCAGGTGAAATTCCAGGTCTAAGATAATTTTATATATGTAGTCAGAAAATGATGTTATACTAATTATTCTTAGCAACTTTTTCTTTTCCTTTTTTCTTTTCTTATTTCTCTACAATAGTTTATGCCAAAGTGGCTTCATTCATACAGATGAACCAAGGATTGGGATAGCGCTATACAATTAGAATCAGACAGCTGATTGCCCAGCAGGATGCCATCAGCTATCCCAACAGAGGGCCTGAGGGACCCTGACATTGCAGAACTCTTCTTCAAAGAAGATCCAGAGAGGCTCTTCACAAATCTTAGAGAAGTTGGCTATGGAAGCTTTGGAGCAGTGTACTCTGTAAGTGTTAAAGGCTTAATGTCAGTGACCAGCGTTTATTTAATATCCCGTCCTGGAAGAGTAAAAATCAGTACTACAAAGAGATATAGGCAATAGTCTATTTTATAGTCACTTGGATTAGGTGTATTTGAAAAGATCATTTTATTTATTGAGCTTCTTAGATTATTGAAAAAATGGGAAAGATATTCTGCTTTAATTTCCATGTTGTTTACACTACTTTAGCAGTTTTATGACTTACATTGCTGTTGAATCAAATATTGCAAAACAGTGATTTACGTAAAGTCCTGTACACACATTTCATTATTATTCATTCATTATTTCTTCCTTTTAAGATTGCTTTTTTTTCCTCAGCAACAAGTTTTGTATAGATGTTTAATATTTTGGTAGTATTACAGATTTAGTTTTTTAGTTTTAATGGGTACTTTAAGAATAAAACAACAATTTGAAATATTTCCTTAGAGAAAATGTCTTCCAAATTTGTAACAATTTGAACTTTTTATTTATTTCCCATTTGTAAATTAGAGGTAAAAATAAGGTAGTAGAAATTCCCTCTGTAATTTTCCTACCCAAGGACAGCTGCTGTTAAAATTTAAATAAACATCCTTCAGAATATTTTTGTGTACACATGCTTTATGCGTGTGTGTGATGTAGGTTATGTTTGTTTGATTTCTGAGTTGGACACAGAATAAGGGAAGAGGCACTCAGAAAACAGGCATTTCATAAACAACCTTTTTTCTGTGTTACAGTTTTGTCTGAATGTACACTTCTCCTGTTGTTCTCCTTAATACTAATGTGGAGAAATATAGAATAATAAAGGAAAAAAATATACAGACTCTTAGAAATGGGCCCAATAAGAGAACCCTGTTGAAAAAATCCCTGTCATGTAGCTCTTCAATGTGTGTCAGTAGTGTTTTTTAATTGACTTACTTTATTAAATATAATTTATATACAGTAAATACAGATATATTAAATGTATAGTTCAATGAAATTAGACAAGTTATATGCCATACAACAACAATTCAAGATACAGAATGGTGATAGTGTGGGTACTAGAAAGAAGTAGATAGAGGACAGAATGATAACTTGTTTTATCTCTTTTGATAATAAATATTCTATATAGTTAAAAGTTAAAATTAAGTCATTATGTATGGGGGGAGTCATGAAAAGGCAAGCAGGAACAATGAATCCAACTGTATTTGTGCTGTAAAAACCAAAACTAATACGAGTAACTTTCATACACAGTATTTTAACTTTATACCCTCTGTCTGTTTGGGAAGAGGAAACTGCAAACAAATCTTGAACTCTTCTCAGTTAATTCGTTTCATATTGGTATGGGTGTGACAGTTCTGAAACTGTGTGTTTCAAGATTGAGCAGTGAGTAATTTTGATGTCATTTGGAGTCAGATCCTAACTGAAAGGATGATAGAAATAGGAAATTGGCAAAAGTAAGGAAGAACCATGTGGAACTAGATAGGTATTGGATAGGAATTTGTGGATTAATATGAACTAATTATATGACATATATATTTCCTAGCTCTCTCTACTGTAAGATTCTAGTTGCATTGATATCCCAATAGCAACAAGCACACTTAGCACTCAGATCTTGAATTCCTCACTACATGAATCAAGAGCTCTTGGAGTAATGGTTCATTCTATTGTGGGGACAGGGATCATTAAAGATAAGCTCTAGAATATCTTGTACCAGAAGGTTAAAAAGTGCTTTAAAAAAAAAGGGCCCTTTCAAGAGGATGCTAGAACCAGCTTGAAGGTGCTCCCACTGGCCAGATCTGGAACAATTTGAGCATCAACATAAACATCTATTGATTATAACCAATTGAATAAAATAGGAATTTCTAATTTCCATGATAGGTGAAGGATGGATAGATAGTTGGAAAGGGAGGGCTTTTCTTTATAATAGAATGCTGACTGATACATGTGAAGGGAATGGTAGAGTTGGGAAAAACCAGTATTTTGAAGATTGCAGCAATCATTGCAAAGATTGTTTTGGGTAGAATCTTCAGAGGTTGCTAAACCCAGGGGGAAAGTTTGATGAGCAGGATATTTATATAGTTTAAAAGTATCTCTCCAAGGATTGCCTGTTAGATACAAAGTAGGAAACAGGGGTTATAACTATATACATTGGAAAGAAAGAGTCAAATACCTTGAGTGGGTGATGAAAATTAGTAACCAGTGATGAACAGACATTGTATGTATCCAGATATGATACCCTGAAAAGGACACAATATAATTCATGTAGTATTTCAGCCAGAGATGTGTAACCAGAATCTAATCTTGAAGAAGCTTCAGACAAACACAAATTTAGTAAGGTAAGTACTGCTATGTAGTCTCAACAACTACCAGTGTTATAAAAGACAAGGAAGGGTTGAGCAAATTGTTCCAGATTAGAGAAGATGAATAAAACATGATGAGTAAGCACAATTTGTAATCCTGAAGGGAGAGAGAAACATGACTGTGGACATTAAATATTTTTCTGTGGGTTTTTTTTTTTTGTGTGTGTGATAGGCAAAAGTAATCTCATCTTAATCTGATTTAATTTTAATGTAATCATCATTACTAATGAGTTTGGATTTTAATAAATTACAGTCACTTTAACTTACTGTTTTAAAGTAATACTAGATTTGCAGATTTTGCAATAATAGTAAAGTTTCCCCTATAATCTTCACCCAAATCCTTTAAAGTTTACAAGTTTCATAACCACAGCACCTTTATCAAAACTAAGAAATCAACATTGATACACTGATACTGTTAACTAAACTACATACTTTATTCAGATTTTCCCAGTCTTTGTGCTCTTTTCTGTTCTGGAGTCTACTCCAGGATACTACACTGCATTTAGTATACCCACTTTTGAACTTTATCTTGTGCTAATTAGAAAGGTAGCTCTTTAGCAAAACAATGAGATTGGACCCTTACCTCTTAACATATATGAACATTAAAATGTATCAAAGATCTAAATATAACAGTTAAAACTATTAAACTCTTAGGGTAAAACTGCATGACCTTGTTTTTGTCAAAGGATTCTTAGACATGACAATAAAAGCATGAACAAAAGAAAAACACAGGTATTGGATTTGATCAAAATGTAAAACTTCTATGCTTGCAAAGACAACCAACAGAATAGGAGAAATTATTTGAAATCATATGTCTGCTAAGGGACTTGTGTCTAGAATATATAAAGAACTCTTACAACTCAATAATAAAAAGGCAAAACAATTTTTAAATGTGCAAAGGATCTGAATTGACATTTCTCCAAAAATGTACAAATGGCAAAAAAGCACATAAAAAGATGCTCAACATTCACTTGTCACAAGTCTTGAAAAATTATACTCAGTGAAAGAAGCCAGTCACAAAAGACTGTATATTATATGGTTCCAAAGTGTACAGAATGGGCAAATCTCCAGAGACACCGAAAGTAGATTAGTTGTTCCTTAGGGCTGAAGGGGTGAGGAAAAGGGATAGGAGAGTGAGCTAAAGGGTGTGGGGTTTTGTTTCTTTTTTTTTTAATTGGGAAAAAATTTGAGGTAAGATACACATAATATAAAATTTACCATTTTAATCATTTTTAAATGAAACAATTTGGAGTTTCTTTTTGAGGTAATGAATGTTCAAAATTGTAGTTATCAGTAAATTGCATGTATCTGTCATATCAATCAGTATTGCCATGTATCTGTCAGTGTACTAAAAGCTATCGAATTACACACATTCAAATGGGTGAAATGTGTGGTGTGTAAATTGTATCTCATTAAAACTGTTAGAAAAGAATATAGCTGGTTAGACTAAAATTAACTAAATTGACTAAAATTAAGGGGCTCACAAATAGATGAGTAGAGAACATTTTGGAAAAATAAATTCATATTCAAGATCTTATGCGGATAGATCCACTTCACCCATGATGGTAAGTGGTGCATGTTTTCATTGACCAGTCTGCCAGTAATTGAAATTGGAATGTCATTAGTTGTTCCCAGGACCCACTTAAAAGAATATATATATATTTTAAGGAACTCTATTTAGGTGTAACTGACATATGTGCTTGTCTAATTTTTTAACAGTTTTTTTTGAGATTTAAATTCCATACTCTAAGTCTACCAATTTTAAGTGTGCATTGCATAGATTTTTAGTAAGTTAGAATTTTGTAGCTATCACCATAATCTAATTTTAAATTTAAAACATTTTATCTTTGGGAATTCATTAAAGACTGAATTGAAGATGAATTCTTCCACAGATGATTAGAGATAATTAACCCTTTTTACTGAACTCATTTGAAATATTTTGCAGCTATCCTCTTGTGCCTTCCTTATATATAATCTTTTTTTTTTAAACACGTTATGAGAATTTGGGTCTTAGTTTCTAAAGAGTTAACTTTCATGTTTCTGTTATGCTTTTATTTTTTTATCAAAATTTCCAGAACAGTGGTAAATAGTAATTGTGGTAGCATTTTAGCTGTCTTGTCTTAATTCTAGTTAATAGTTTATCATGTTGAGGAATTACCTTTCCCGTGTGGGTTTTCTAAGAGTTTGGTCTTCCCTGCATTGAATACATTTGGAGCTGGGCCTTTTCTGCATTTTCAGCATTTATTGAGCATTTATATATATAAGTATATATTTTTCCCCTTTGATTTGTAAAAAAATATGGCAAATTCTGAAATGCTTTCTTGTATCAAAATTTTGCATTTCTGTGGTAATGTATTTTATCCAAATGAAATATTGTTTTAATGCTCTGTAGTATTTGATTGCAAAATTTTATTTTGAGTTCCCTTGTCTAAATTTATAAGTCAAATTGGTACCTAAGTTCTATTTTGTGCTGCTGGTGAGGGTTTAGTTGCTGGGTTAGACTGCCTCCATAAAATTAATGGGAGAGCTTTCCTTTTTGCTCCTCTTTTATCCTGGGAAGTTCCCTGGTGAAACTTTTCCACTCACAACTATTTTAAAGATGATTAGTATTCTTTTCAGTCTGCCACCACTGTTTTACTCAAATTTTCTTTTCCAGATCAATTTTAGTAGTTCTTTCCTAGAGAATTGTCCATTTCATTGAAATTTTGAAGTTTACAGGCCTAGCATAGACTTGTACTAGTCATTTTTTTGTTTGTTTACAGTTCTATTCAAATTTCTGTATTTTTCCTCTCCACTAGCTCATTCAAAGATAAACATTCATTATTTTTATTTCTAAAGTACCAGCTCCCTGATAATTTGATGTTTTTCGGTATCTATTTAGTTATTTTTTTAATGTTCTTTAAAAGCAGTTTTGGTATCTTTTTTGACATGGTAGTTTATAAATGCTTTTATTCTCAGAGAAATGATTTCCCAGATTTAATCTGATAATTTTTACAATGCTCTTCTGTCGTTTTTAGGCACGAGATTTGCGTACCAATGAAATGGTGGCTATCAAGAAATTATCTTATGCTGAAATGTGGTCTACGAAGGTAGGTGAAATATATATGTTTGTATTTGCATGTTAAAGAAAGCCATACCATTCTAAATTGGGGCTAGGTGGGATTTTTTTCAAAAAATGTTGAAAAATATACAAATATTAAGTGTATATCTCAGTGAATTTTCTTCCACAGACTCAATGTGCCCATTTAAATTGTACCTAGAGCCTTTAAACAACATTCCTGACATACCAGAAACCTCCCAACTGTGTCCTTTACTTTTAATTGTTTTAGATTTGTGCTGCTGACACGAGTTTAATTTTTTAAATTGTTGTTTAGCAGTTTATTCTACAATAGAGGGATCATCATGTCTAAGAAAGTAAACTAGAATAAGGTACATTTGACAGTAAGTATACTGGATATAAATTTTTAGTGGTAGAGAAATTATCTAATGGCTGTTTCAAATAATCATCAGGCAGCATATATCTAGTCTGAAAAATAAGGCAGTGGGTAATAATCTGAAAAATAAAGTTATCGATACTGTTTTGCATGTACTTTTGTTCTTCAGTATTCTGATTAGTTCTTAATTGCATAAGTTTATATAATGTCTACTTCCTAAGTGTTATCTGTTTCTTTAATTCTTCAAAAATTTAATTATTTTTAATTGTGGTAAAGTACACAAAACAAATTTACCATCTTAATCACTTTAAGTTTAAGTTCAGTGGCGTTTAAGGACATTCACATTGCTGTGCAACCAATACCACCATCCATCTGCAGAACTCTTTCATTTTGCAAAAGTGATATTCTACACCCATCAAACAATAACTCCTCATTCCCTCCTCCCTGCAGCCCCTGGAAATCACCTTTCTCCTTTCTGTCTCTCTGAATTTGACTCCTTTAAGTATCTCCTGTAATTGAAATTATGCACTATTTGTCCTTTTGTGACTGGCTTGTATCACTTAATATGGTGTACTCAAAGTTCATCCATGTTGTTGTGTGTGTTTGTGACAGTGTGTGTGTGTGTCTGTGTAAAAACACCACATTTTGTCCATCCATCATCTGTAAATGGACACTTAGTTGCTTCTACCCCTTGATTATTGTGAATAATGCTGCTATGAGCATAGGTACACAAATATTTCTTTGAGTCCCTGCTTTTAATACTTCAGGGCATATGCCCAGAGGTAGAATTGCTCTATCAGTCTTTAATTTTTAAAGGTTTTGGTTTTGTATATTTCTGGAATCCCTATTTTATGGTAAATCTTTTTTGTGATAATCACACTTATGGGTATGATAACACTGTTGTGATTGATCACTATTCCATTATGTTGATACCTAAAAAAACTCTTAATAATTTCTAAAAAAACTCCATTTTTTATGTTTACTGTAATTTTATTTGCCATTCTATAGTATAACTTTAAAACTGGCTTTCCTAGCCGACTTGTGTTGACGTCTGTTTAATTAGTCATGCCTAGAACAAAAAGTTTCACCTAGGGCAGCATCTTCTCTCATCTAATATTGTATCCTTCCTGGAAGTGTTTTTTACATTGAAGAATACAGGTTTTAGCTTTGTTTTGTTTTGTTTTGTTTTGTTTTGAGAGTTTGCCTCCCAGAGCATTCAAATTTGAAATGTAAAGCCCATAAAACACTTTCTAAACTTAGCATCTTCCAGCTTACACATTTTACACTGTGAATATCTTGCTCTATTTTGTTGAGGGCTTATGAAATAACATAGGAGATATAGGATCTTAAATTCTAGTACAAAACATTTCTTAAAGTTCTGTATTCTAGTTCCCCTACCTTTAGAAATATGATACAAGTGAGTGGTAAAGCTTGGATAAGCTGAAACAAGAACAAAAAACAGATTCCAAGTTTCCATTCCACATGTACTAGGCTTCTAGAGTCTCTGGGTATGGGCCCAAGTACCTGTATTTTCAGAGTTCCCTGATTGCTTCTTAGAAGTAACTATAGTTAGGATATGGCCTAAGTTTCTGAAGTTGTCCTAGAGTAGCTTTAATTGTGAAGGCTTATCTCTTATTTACTAGTAGGCATCAGTGGGAAGGCTCTTCGAAAAATCCTGTAGGAAAATGTTTTCATGCTGCTTGGTTTTTCTGTGAACTTCCCTCTGTTATAACCTAAGTGTTCACTAGCATTTTAGAATATGTGCATTTAGGAATTTAGGTAATTACTTGATTTGAGTTTAAACAGCAGAAAAAACTTAACATTTGGTAGACAATATAAGCCAAAAACACAACAGCTGAACTTTAAGGTATGTAAATTATACAACAATAAAGCTGCACAAAAGAAGGGAGAGGTTGAACTTTTGAAGAAAAACCACTAAATATAGTATATAGTTTTCAACAGGCTTGGTGTGTGGTTATAAAATTTTAATTTATTATCAATGAGTCTTATTAAAAATAAATTTTATGAAAATAAAAATATGTCCTACCTGGAATGAATTTTATGTAATTGAGTTGTAAACTATATGGACGTAAGTTCTTTAAAATGTATTTGTTTGACATTTAAATATTACAAATGAAACAAAGTTGTATGTTCTTGTTAACATTTTAATCTAATAATTTTTTACTTGTATAGCTTTCTAAGGAAAAGGAACTGTTCCTAATTATTTCCTTTATTCTTTTTTTTCTCCCCACAGAGATGGCAGGGTATTATTAAGGAAGTCAGGTTTCTACGAACATTAAAACATCCCAACATCGTAGAATACAAAGGCTGCTATTTATGTGAGTTCACAGCATGGGTAGGTATCTGCTCTCCCCTTGCTGTAATTTTAGTAGGTTTAGTTTATAATTAATTCAAAAATGTCTCAAAATAGTTGTGTAAAGCCATGCACAAACACCTTGAAATGTTAGTTCATACTGAGAAAGGAGGAACAGCTTTTCCTGGAACTCTTAGGCAGTAAGAGATAATAGAATTTTTGCCAGTTTACTTCAGAGATTCACCTGATCATTACGTGCATGGGAAAATGTTCTGATATATGTTAGCGGTATCATTCTTCAAATGCTGTATCAAACATTTGTTGAGAACAATCCTATCAAAGGATGAAAATCAGCATATATTTTTGACATAAATGTATTGTAAACTATTTAACCACAAGGATCTTGTGTGGATTATTGGTGGTGAATCCTGAAGAAATCTGAACTGATTGTGATTCTTTGGCTGAATGATACTAAAGGTAGAAAATTGAGACATTTTATTGCAGAAAATGGAAATTAATTTTGCCCCATTGTTAAAACTAAGATAAGGTAGTAATCTTACAACAGAATAGGCATAGTAATTATGTCTTTTAAGAGGAAGGCTAAATTTTCTTTCAACAGGAATGACCTTTTATTTTTAATAAGCTATAGCTGATGATCATTTTAATATACTGAACTTAGATTTAGATTTGTAACGTTTGGTTTAATTTAGTGGTGATGGTACTCCTAAATTTGAGGCTGTGGTTAAAGAAAAAACAGTGGCCGACAGGGTAGACTGCCTCTCTGTCTTTCAGGTTCTCCATCTGTAGAACAAGGATGATAATAGGGTCTACTTCCACATGTGGCTATGAGGATTAAATTAGTTAATATATATAAAATACCTTTCACGTAAGAGGTGCTCTGTGTTGGCTTTATAGGAAAGATTTAAACTGTAACCTAAACTTTGTATATATAGTACCAGAGGATAGTTGTCTGCTTCCTAACAATACCAGTATTGCTACTATAGGTTAATATTAATAGAATATGTATATTCCTTTATAGCTTTAGTTAGTAATTATATGAAACACACATCTACAAGCAGTTCTAAGTTGGCATTATAAAAGATTAATATAGCATTGGCTTAACTTCATGTATGCATTTAACAAGTTCACAAAATGTGTAATTAAAGGTAATTGATAACCAGAGTTTGTTTCACTTCAA